ATGAATCCAGGTGGCAGGTGGCACAGAGGTGCAATCACCAGCCTTATCCCAGTTGGTCGCATCAGAGAACAGGCTTGGGCATCCACATGAGTGATCTAGACAGTTTGAAGTTTGCCGGGTGGCAGACCCGACAACAGCCCAAGAGTCAGTAAAAACACATCAGGGTTTACCAAGTGGAGGATTGGCCTAGTGCATGAGAATGGCCTGGGATTCTCGCTACTGAGCAGAGGACTCACATCCATCTCTGGTTCTGGGCCGTGCTGCTGAGGGTAAACAGCAGAGCAGCCAGTGGACACCACTGGATTTCAGCTTAGTCGACCCATAGGTGAATAAGACCCAGGCATTTGGGGGAACTTGAGGTCACCATCGAGCCAGTGGCTTTGCTTTGGTAGAAGGAGTTGGGGATGTAAGTTCCCCCTGGAGGATCAGCTGCCAGTGTTTTCAGATAAAGCTGAGGTGTCCCTCAGGCCAGGGGAAATCCATGATGTGGGTCCCTGGATACTGTAGCTGGGGCAGGTTGGACGGAGGTGAGTCAGAGGAGAACAGGATCTGTGCTCCTCCAGAGCGTTGGGGCCACACGCCAGACTCCCTACCCGGAGACAGGACCCCCGGGACCAGTGCAGCCTAGCTCTGGCTCCAGAACTCAGAGTTCACTTCCTGGCTCTGCTGGCATGGCTCACTCCTGCAGGGCCACTGGGTTGCTTCTGACCGTGACCTGAGCCAAGGGTTGGGAAAGCAGCAATGATGGGTTTGGGTCAAGCTCTGTCCATAACTCTTTGAATGATGACCTCGGGCCAGTCGCTCCCCTCTCTGTGCTGCAGTCTCCCCAGTGGACTAGACCAGTGGTTACCCAAGGATGGGCATGTTTCACAGAATACCACAGAAACAAACTCTGTGGCAAAGCAGTTTGGGGAAACCCTAAATGAATGGGGTCACCCTGCCGCAAGATTATAGAGTCTTTTCTGCACATCCTAAATCTCTGGGCGGGGGCTGCAGCATGCAGTGTTTGCCAAGCTGATCTGACCAGGGCACCCCGTCATAAAGAACTTCTCACCATTAGTATTCTGAAGGGCGTGGCTCAGGACACGCTAGAGGATGGTCTCCGGAACGTTCCTAGCTCTGGTCTATGGGACCTCTAGTGATCCTTGCCTCCTGGTATTCACGCTTGCTCTCATGCTCTCGTGCTCTTGCTCTCTCCCTCCCTCCTTCCCTCCCTCCCTCTTATTACCTCCTGTCATGTCATGAGGATGCCCAGGCAGCCTGTGACCAGCAGCCCTATGAGTGAGCTTGGAAGCAGATGTGCAGCCCCAGTCCAGCCTTGAGGCAATTGCAACCCGGCCCAACAGCTTGAGAGACTGTCATGTAACCCCATGAGCGACCCTGGGCAAAAGGCGCCAGCTTACCTGTGCCCAAACCTCTGCTTTGGTCTGGCCCCTTGGCTCCCAGTGGGGCCCTTCCCAGGAGTCCTCAGCCTGTCCCCCCACTATGCCCCCCGCCCACATGCTCTGGGCAACGTACTCCACCCAGGACTCACCATGCCCCACCCCCCCTTTGGTCCCTCCTGCTTCAATGCCTCCCTCATTCTCCCTCATTCATTTTCCTCCCATAATTGTATTCAGGGGCCACTCAGAGGCCCCAAACCAATCTCTCCCATGCCTGTCCCAACCCATGATATATGTCCATTCAGGATGGGCTCCTTCCCCCCGGGTGGGCAGGGCTCATGCTCAAGTGCAGAGGGGTGCGCTCCCTGCCAGGGCTCACATGCTATTGGCTACACTCATAGGAGACCTGCCCTGCTGCCTGGCACACTAGCTGGGCACACTGACCTCAGGTGGTCAGCTCGCTGACTGAAGCTGTGTCCAGAGGGCTGTTCTCCAGTTAAGAGATCTATGTCTCCACAGTGTGGGGCTTGGGGAGGGGCCGAGCAGCAGTCAGCCAGCATGAGAGCACCGGCCGGAGACCAGGACCTACAGGCTCCAGCTCCATCAGCTCTCTGTAGGACCTGGGGGAGGTCTGAGGATGCCAGATAAGGCAGGATTTCCAAACACTTCCTTTTTCTGTAGATTCTTTTTTTAAAAAAAAAAAATCATTTATTTATTTATTTATTTATGGCTGTGTTGGGTCTTGGTTGCTGCACGCGGGATTTCTCTAGTTGCGGCAAGCGAGGGCTACCCCTTGTTGCGGTGCACGGGCTTCTCATTGCGGTGGCTTCTCTTGTTGAGGAGCACGGGCTCTAGGCACGCGGGCTCAGTAGTTGTGGCGCACAGGCTTAGTTGCTCCGCAGTATGTGGGATCATCCTGCACCAGGGATCGAACCCGTCTCCCCTGCATTGGCAGGCGGATTCTTAACCACTGTGCCACCAGGGAAGTCCTTTTCTGTAGATTCTTATCAAGCAAAATGCCAGGAGTCCAGTAGCCAGCAGATAAGGGTTCAGGGTGCAGGGAGGGCTGTAGTCCTGCCCTCTGCACCCCCATGCCCTCCTGTGGGCCTCACTGTCCCCCCCACTCCTCCCCCACCCTCCCAGGTCCTCCTCCTGCCCACAGCTATGCATCATCCAGGCCCTCTCCAAGACCCATGAGGCTCTTCCACCTCCAGCACCTCTTGTCTGCGCCTCCACAGGCACTGGAAGCCATGCAAGTCTGAGAAGCAGGAAGCTATTCCAGTCCCAGCTAAACCCACTGTGGCAGGCTGAGAGCTCAGGTTCCCATGCACTGGTGCTGAGAACCCGGGGAGAAGACAAGAATCACTCATTTCGCAGTGAGGATAATGTTTACTGAGAATGGCTCATTACAAACAAAATATATGTATAAAATCTCTGTAATGCAAAAGATCCCTTTTGTTCCCAGGTGGCTGGAGTGAACAGAGCCAACTGTCCAGCGTGGCCCCCTGTGTGTGGCCAGGGGGTTGTGGTGCCACATGCTGTAGGCAGACTTCCTGCTGTCTGGGCTCTATCTCCAGCCCCATTTTCATGATTTGTGCGGGAACACGACACAATGAGGTTTGTGTCCTGCCTCCATGACCCTCCCCAGGCAGATGGCACCACCCCAGGGGCAGGTGGCTCTTGTGAATCTTCCAGACAGGTGACCTCTAACCTGTGCTTGCCCTGAGAAGCCCTCCTCCAAGCCCAGGGATTGAGTGTCTCTGATGGACAGAGGTGCCGTGACCGCTCTTTGTGGAGGCTGCTCTCCATGCCAGCCTCACTCACAGGCAGCCATCCTGAAAGCTTCACTTCCTCTGTTTCCCTTGACACATCTGTCCTCACCAGTATTACCCGGACCCCTCCTGAGCACACCCAAACCCAAAGCCAACATGCGTGGTACTCCTGGGTGTGGGACACCACTCCCTGGGATCTTGGGCCACCCAGCATTAAGGCAATGGACACGAGGCCAGTCTGCAGGCAGCACTAGTCTCCGAAACCCAGGGTGGCTGCCCAGCCAACATCGCCTCCCTCTTGGTCAAGGCCATCTGGTGTTGAGGAACAATGTGTTTAGGTGGTCTGACAGCCCTTGTCAGCAGAGCCCACCCCTGCCCCTCAGAGTTGCCACAGCTCCATGGGGGCAGACGCAGAGCATGGCCATGGTTGGCAGTCTGAGGGAGGGGCAGCAGCTGCCCCACATCATGCCTTGGGCACTGGAAGACCGAGATGCAAGGTGTCACAGCGGTGTGGCTGTTGGGGCATCCCTACTCCACTAGCCAGAGGCAACCCGAGGCATGGGTGTCCCCAGCCCCTTTGGGAATGAATGATCCATTGTCCTTATTTTTCAGGTGCAGACCCAGGTTCAAGACCCAGCTCCACCACTCTCCTGGGCCAGATTCTGTCCGTATGGTGAGAGGCCCCTTTGAAAGAGAACTTGGGCTGGCTTACCTGTCCTGTGAAGAGAGGTGTCAGTGGTTCCAAAGTACCTACAATCTCACTATTATTGTCTTACTTGAGGTTGAGTCTCACCCCCATAAAGTGAAAACTTAAATCTCAAAAACACCACCCTCCCCCTCGCAAAAAAAAAAAGAAAGAAAAAGAAAACAGCTCTAGTCCATGCTATGGTGCCGTGCTCTGTGATCCTGGGTAGGCAACACCCCTCCTGTCAGACAGAAGAGACCCAAAGTTCTGTGCAAAAGGTCCTGATGTGAACACCAGGGTGGGTGGTGGAGGGTCACAGTACCCCCCCCCCTACCCAACCACTGATCAGCCACACAGGCCCAGGGCCCCAGCAACCAACCCTGCGAAACTTGGGGCTCCCCGCCCTCAGACACAAGCCCCGCTGCCTGCCTAGTCAGGAAGCCTCGTGGGTGTGAGCATCTTTGGGGCCCAGGCAGCTATTCCTGGCCCTCGGGGTCAGGCATTGTGAGCACTGCTGGCCAGCAGGAGCCAGGGTCCCACCTGCAGCCCAGGTTTCCACAAGGAGATGGAGTACCTGGAGGGCTGCAGGGGCCGCAGAGTCCTTTCTGCCTGAGGTCCAGCCCTCCCCAGGGGCCAGAAGCCTTGCAATCAGCTACAGGAACTGGTCCCACTGGGAGGTGGGAGGGGGTGGCGGCAGCCACCAAAGGGCCCAGGGGGGTCTGCAGTACTTCCAGGTCCCTGCAAGGCTGGAGCAGTCCCAGCCCCCGGGGCCCAGGCCAGCTACACAGTCTCCAAACAAACAGACAAGCAGTATCTCTCTTCAGGGCTCATTCACCAGGTCTGTGGGGAGATGGGCTCAGGGTTCTCCCTCTGCCCTGGGTCTGGCTCGCAGGCAACAAGGGCACCCGTAGGGGTGGATGTCCCCTGAGCACAGCTGGAGTTAGCCTCGGGGTCCTGGGGGAGGCTCCACTCAGATGCTCTGGGGACGACCCAGCAACCAGCAGGAGTGCAGGGTAAGTGGCATGACGGCTCAGCGCTGGTGGATTAAGCAGGTGGGACTCAGCCTCCTAGAACTCCCTGGGGCTTGGTCACATGAGCTGGAGCCACAGTTCCACATCTGAGCCCTGGCAGCCCCAGACCTGGGCCAGGGCCTCCTGAGTGGGCCCAGCTGGGGCAGGGCAGGGTGGGGTCCAAGGGCCTGGGCACACCAGGCTCCTGCTGTCAGCTGTCCAAGTAGACAAAGAGGATGTCCTCGTCCGTGCCGTAGCTGGTTCTGGCCTCCTCAAAGTTACTGATGCTGGTGCTGCACATTCCTGC